ATCCGATGACATGGACAAATGTAACGCAATATGATATGAAGCACAACAGAAGATTCATCAAAGCTGCAAATGAGTCCAGCAGTAAAACAAATTAGCCTGGGATTAGAAATGACACCAAATTGCCATCGATGTTTTAGGCATCCCATACATACATGAAATAAGACAGCATAAAGTGCCATCAACTGGATAAACATTATACTCAGTGGCGGATTTAGAGGTGTGGGCGCGGGGGGCGCCCCCCCCCTAGACGTCTGACACTTGCTTTTGTAATCTAACACCATTGTGTTGCTTTCTGACACATCTGGCGACAAAGGCATAATAACATTGCGATTTTTGGTATCCTTTGATATTCCAAACGCTGTCCCTCTTCGACATCACTTACGTTTACAGCACAATTCTTACGATTTATACGTATATACGCGTATTGTGACTTGTGACAAATCTAAGTATAAGCAATATATTAGCTATACAGATTGCAATTAAAAAGTGATTTATGTTCTGTTTGTTGCTCAACAGTAATTTGAAAAGTGTGTAAAGCTTGACTGATTTTGTTCGGGGTTGGTGTTGCAGCGAAGCACTACTAGTCTAATCATATTAGACAAAAATACCCTTGGCCTGCGAAATAATTCTACAGTCTGGTCTTATTGCTGCAAGTTGCTCAAGGGAGTATTCAAAACATGGACGCGAAATTTTTATTCGACAACAAAGAATAAGAAAACGTGTTTTTTGGGATTCAATCTAAATAATTGACAGGGACCAAAACACTCTCCTCATAAGGTTTTTAAGTATGTACGAGACCTACAAAATGAGACTATACGTAAAAAGATCTGACTAATAGCAAAAATGTTATCGCCGAAAACCAAGGCAAACTGCCGGTCTTGACATGTGTTGGTAATGCGACGACGGTTTCTCGGAGATATTTGAAATTCTTAAAATTCGTACTATTGGTACTTCTAAATAACCACAACAAAATTGGAGAAGATTGGTCAAGTAGTTTGTGCGAATTTCTAATTGTTTATCCCAAGACATCTGTTTTCCGGCTATCACTACTAGTTTTTTTGAGCAATATACATGGGTTAGAACAAAAGGAATTTTATAGCAAAATACACTAGTTTACCTTGCCGATATGAATCGAAAACTATTCCAGAAGATAAATGTTATTTTTATGCAAAAAGGGATGGGTTACGTTTTTCTTCAAAACAAAATTTCGTATTTGGGAGAAACTCGCAACAAAAGATGATAGACACATCCGCTTTGTTTTAAAATGTATTTCGAATATCGTAGCGCATTTGCTCAATTGCTCACAAATACGAAATGTTTGAATTTGCTTTGAAGAAAAATACGTAACCGTTGTTTTCCGCATAAAAATAACATTGATCTTTCGGAATGGTTTGTAATTCATATCGGCAAGGTAAATTAGTGTATTTTTCTGTAAAACGCTCTTTGAACTAATCCTGTATAAAGCTCAATAAACTAGTAGTGATGTTCGGAAAACAGGTGTTTTCTGATAAACAATTAGAAATTCTCAAAAAACTACTTGACCATTATACTCCAATTTTGCTGTTGTTATTCAGAAGTATGAATCCTGCGGATTTGAAGAATTTCAAGTAGTTGTGTAAAATTATCGTCGCATTACCAACAAGTGCCAAAACCGGCATTTTGCCTGGTTTTTAGGCCATAACATTTTTGCTATTAGTCGGCTCTTTTCAAGTGTGGTATCATTCTGTAGGTCTCATAAATACCTAAAAATCATAAATAGTTTTTCACGTTTTCTCATTCTTTGTTGTCAAATAAAAAGTTTTCCCACAAAAATTGGTGAAACCATTTTATGCGTCCATGTTTAAAATGCGCCCTTGAACAATTTGCACCAATAAAACCGGACTTTGCAATTATTTCAGGGAAATCTGCTAATATGATTAGACTGTACAGGTATGTTAGGTGAACGCCTACATTGGAAATATACATTTATGACATCTGCTTAGCGGTGCGCATGTAGCCTGTCCAGAAAATGCGTCGATCGATGCTCAAAGTCAATACCACACGTCCCGCATTTCTTCCCGCGTATGTTTCTATTTATGTAGCTATATTGGAATTCGTTTAAGTCACAGAGGTTCTGCACTACACGTGAATATATACAGCCCTGTCTTCCTGTTCTTGTTTCGTACAAACATACATTATCAAATTAATTACGATCTAACATATATAGTTTTTTCCAAAGATTTCCAACATTTTTACATGCTATCAATACCGATTCGAAAACTGAGAAAACAACAACTATGCTGTAAATCTAAGTTCGACAACAAAGGCTGAAGAATAACTGTAACATCTATATTGAATTTCAAAAAATAATTGACTATACCTATTGATAGTTTTATCACCTGCTGATATAACAGAAGTGCTTGATTGTGTCAGTATTTACACCAATTACTTGATTTGTCTAACGGGTAGTTCAGAGTATTAATCCTTAAGCTTAGTACACACTTAGTAGACCCCGTTGCGCAATTGGTCTATAGGCAGTCTTGAGACGGTCACAAGACACGATGGATAGATGGTCTAAAGACATCCTTCTTTGTCTCGTCTAGCGTCCATACGATAATGTGAATTTTTCGGTCTCATGTTCGTTTTCGCCATCAAAGACACTGTTTTGTGTGGAATGGCTGGGATATGTTTCGGAGTCCCTCAACATGTCTTTTTTGTTTAACAGAGCAATGAAGTTTTTTATGTTTTAATCTTTAATATTATTACACTAGTTAATTATAAATGCCACGTAATTCTTTTGTTCTCATATAATAAAATACTGCCTTTCTGAGGATTTCTGAGTACTTTCCATATTTTTAAGGAGCAATAATAGCATAAATTCTAGAAGTTCCACTGAGGTAGAAAAATTACCAGCCCCAAATATCGTTTGCTCCCCCTCCCCTAGACGAAATCCTGAATCCGTCCTTATTATACGTAGACTGTAGAGTGATCTTCGAGTCATTTGAACCTCTGACAAAAATGTATCTGAACTTTATTTTGTATGATCAAAGAGCCTGGAGATATTCAATGAATTCTTACGAAACATTTTTTGAAATAAGACTGCACAAAATACCATCTATATGTGCTGTCTTATTTTACTAAACATTATATTCTGAATGTTGTTCAGCTTTATTTCGTTGTCCGCCTAGACCAAGCCTACACCATGCTGAGGAGTTGCCAAGTAGCATGAAACATGGTTGGCCGATTGTGGTCGGATGAATGGAAGCTATATTACTAGTTTACACAACTTTTGGTTCAGAATGAGGTGATACATATGTCCAAGAGTGTGTTCCTTCTGCTGGTACTTTATTTTTGCCAACAGTGTTACGCATGCAGGAATGTTCATGAACGACATCAAAAAGCAGATTAATGTACACATTACATCTATCTGTAGATAGATAGATAATCAATTTGCCAGAATGGATAACGCCAAAAATTAGTTGAACTAAGACATCTGCAAATAAATAAAATAATCCCGCAGAAGAGAAACTTTTGTGTGTGGGTAAAACATTTATGATTTGCCGCAATAAAAGCTTAGAATACTAAACAGTAGTTTTAAAAGGACATATAGTTGCAAAATTTTAATAAAAGGTGAAGTTTAATTAAATTAGAGAATCAAATTAAGTAAAAATATTGGTCCAAGACTTTACTGCTATTTTGAAATTTCAATCATTTGGTAAATGTCATTTCCGGGTACGTATAAGATTTATATTTTATTCCTCAATTATGTCAAGATTTTGGTCTAGAACTATATTGGTACTTTCTTGATCTCAATCATTTGTAAAATGTCATGTCTGGGTAGGCTCAATAATCATTTTTTTACTTCTGAGTGGAAAAAGAGTTTGGACTGTATTTGTTTTATCTATTATGGTATCAGATTGGAACACCTGGGGTCTCAGAAAATAGATGATCGCTGTAGAACGTTATTTTCAGGTTTGGGGACATCAACGTAATTTTTAATCCTAGTATTGTATTCATCCATCACAGTATTAATGTTATGCTGACTTTTATATTTGCCACGTCAGTGTATTCAACAGATATAGCTGTCTAATATCAAGAATGTTTGAGTCGTGGAAAAGCTGAAATGTACTATACTGACGCGGTTTATTAGATACAACCCTTAATATTGCTATCTGGACTGTCTCCAGCTGTACTAAAACTATTTGCCCTAACCCAAGCAATGATATCATATTGCATAAGAATTTCCGCTAGTGCATAAGATATGTGAAGAGGATGGCGTCAAACAGGTTGACTCTGTACCACAAGCAATTCTGCTATCAAATGGATCATGGTCTGGCAAGAACGTGGGCCAGACTGGTTAGTCATCATCGGGCGGTCGTAGGACTACTCTAGACGTGTTAATGTGCAGCGCGATGTAAGCTTACCAGAAGGCAAACGTAATATTTGAAACTTGACAAAGTTTTAATCCAACATATATATGTATGATGATTATAACTTACAGATGCGTAATATTGCTAGGTTCAGCAGCTTCTTAATAATAGAACTTCTTTCACTGATGGCAAGGATACAATGTCCTACATTCCCTGCAACCTTTAAATTGAAACGCCAAAGAACGAAGTTTGGGCGATTCCTATTTTTTCATTTTACAAAGCTTTTTCGTCCTTGACATAGTAGTAGCGTTCTATCAAAATTTCATCATTTGACGAACTGACAATCAAATGATTAGGCGAATGTCACAGGATTAGTACGAGTATTTACTGTGATCCATCAGTATTTACCTGAAGGGATCATCAGTTTTTTTTTTGGCATTAGGACTAGGAGTCCATGCAGCCAGTCACTAGGTTTCTTACAAATCAGTTAATACTGATCGGATTACATTCGCCTTATAGTAAGTAACTTTCCTGTTATCTTTTCCTAAGAAACCAGGTTTTCTCACGTGTTTGCCTGATTTTTAAAAGGCAGCCAGTAGGGGATATTTTAATAAATAATCAAATTGTTCAATAAATAGACAATTTATTAATCGTCATTACTATAGTTTGGATAATATTTACAGAAATTGTATAAAATTCGATTTTATACATAAAATATGACACAGAATATATTACAATATATACAAAATAAATAAGCGTTAATGTTATATAATTTTAAATAACTTTGGACATTACGCTGTTCTCTACACATATACAGTCTTTTCAATAATACATTTCTGTATAATAACATTTTTTGTCAAAGTAGACATTCAGTAGACATTGTAAAACATTTTCAATCTACATTTATAAAATTAATCAAAATTCAGTGATATTGAGAACCAAGATGTAGCATAGAAAAATTTTCATTAAGATCATACAGGCTTGATAATTGAAGAAAATCATATTTTCGAAGCTAGGTTGACAACGCTTTTCGATTTCAACACTACTAAAAAACTACTTTGAAAAAACGTGAAAGAAATATCACTACCCATACTATTGGCAATGTGATTTTTCATTTCCTGAGGTATCTCCGGATTGCACGGCCTTTTTCGTTTGGTAGACATCTGAAACAAAAGAGAAGGATTATTAGTACTATTGGCAAATCTGTTATTTGAGAAAGGTTCATAGGGATATTTGAAAGCATATGTATGCCGCTACGATTTATACTGAAAAAGTAGTATAGACAGATGGCGAAGTAATCGAGAAAAGTCTACTAACTTTTTGTAAATATCAAAGTCTGTATGCCTTTCAAATACTAAGCAAGCGGGTAATTTTTCCAGTAGCAAGTGGTGGGTGAGGAGGCAGTAAATCCCAAATTAATCCAAAATTCTTACAGATAACCTAATGAGATTATATGAGATTGAGTAACACACACTCATGTAGATGTTAACAGGAAGATCAATCCGAGAATCCATTCTAGGAAAACGTTGCCCGTCTTTTTCAATAGTCTGTTTGGTTGATCACTCAGTGACACCTGGGGAGGATGTACAAGGGTCTTAATAGGGTCTAAGCGCTGAGATCTTGGCTGATTGCCCTTTCTCCTATTCAGAATACAGAACCCAAAAGTCGCTTCCATATTCTGGTATTTTCTTTATTTTAGATTAAAATAAGGTACTATTCCTCTTCATTTTTAGGACATTCGGAAGAGATTGAAGGTCAATAGAGGGAAGAGTGGATTATTCCATACAAGGCTAAAGCAGTCATCTTGGACAGTTCTTGTGTAAATTAATAAGCTCTCCGTGCATTTTTTGATACTAAAACGTAGATACTGTCATCAAGCTTGTTTAGTTTGCGTATTTTCGGAACACCCGTTTTTCTAAATTACTAAAGAAAAATATTGTTATTTGAATTTTGAGTTCATACTAAGGAGACACTCTGCATAGTAAATAACTGAACCGACACATGGCATTACATTTCTCAATGAAGTTAATATAAATCTAGTGGCTTTGCTCTCGGAAGCATTTCCCACCACAACTACCACTTCCGTGAGCTATTTATAACTTATCCCATAATAGCACAAAAGCCAATTCTGGGCGTGAAATTGCGCTTTTCGGTACGGCTCTAATAACGATGGCGAGCAGCTGCATCTGCAGAGTTTAAAACAAACCTCGGATTCCTTGGTTATTACCTGCCACGAAACGCGCACGATATTAGACGGCAAGCAACATCTGTTAAATATTGAACAGCTGATGGCTGAAGGCAACCAACGGACTTCGCTTGCAGATGTGATGTGTTCCTTTTTTTTGGAAAAAAGTATGCGAAGGGCGGATACAGGGATGGAAGAATAACATGTTTTTTCAAGCTTAATACAACAAATATGGAAGTACGACACCATATGATGAACCTGTGCATTTGTGCCTCAAGTTTACTGGAATAGTATCAAATAAACATCCTGTGAAATTCTGCTAGATTTAATCTTGACATTTGATTATAATCATCAAAAAAGTGACTTAAACACGGGTAGACAATTTCTATAGTCGAACCTCTTAATATGAATATAAATTGACTTCGAAGGACCAGGAGCCAAGAATAAGTCCCAAAAAATCCCGCAGAAACCTTATGGAGCCTTTCTTCTGTTTATTGTTTTTACTGTCTAAAAGAGCAATGAAACTACCTCATGTTAAACTATTCATAAGTGAATACGTAAGTTTCATCTTTCAAAAGCAAATAACGAAATTCCAGCGGTCCAAAACTCTTGGAAGTGGCGAAAATATACTAATTAGTATAAGTATAGACCCACCAATAATTTGCGTTTTTTCTCAAGACACTTTTGAATTCTTGGACTGGATTTGTACAAAGCTCAAACGTGTCGTCTAGTCTACAGACGCTTGCATAATACTTCTTTGTCTAACGAGTCTTACTTTTAAAATATGATATACGTACAAAATGTTCTTTACAAGTATAAAGCCAATTATTCTTCATTACAGGTTTACCCATTCTTTCATTCTTCTCGATCGCATTAACTTATAGAAAAACGATGCAACCATAGAAGATAATTACAGCCTTGGTAGACTAATTTCTTACAAATCACTGCGATTAAGCTTTGTAACTTGAAACGATGTCACAGAACTTACTATTAAGTCGTCCATACCGAGACAATGGCTGGCACAAAAAGAGCTAATTTAAGTTCCAGGCCTCGAGCAGAATTCTTTTTGTCTGCAGCTTTCCACACTATTACCCTTACCTCAACAAAGCATCACAATCACAGAATGGGTTGGAGCAGAAAACAATGCTTCAGTACAGTCAATTTAGAACTAACGAACATATATAGGAGTTGAGTCCATTGTTCAGCAAAAACCATTTTGAAGGTCATTGGCATGTCAGGCATTTACATCCAACAACAAAAACTTAAATCGTATTTCCAGTTCCCACTGATTCTGAAGAATTTGCGCCTGCATAGGCTTGTCAACAAGGTTTGCGGTATTATCAAAAAAAAGCATTGTTCACGGGCCCCTGTTAATTATCATGTTGGTTCTAAACTGAGATTTATGATCCGAAAAGCGATGGAAACTAATTCTGTATCTTTACAGCGATGAAATATAGACTCAAAGAATACCACTTTTTCCATTAAGTTCCATACAAAAATTGATAGAGCAGTTTGGTAGACCTTTGCTCTTAGTTTGAAGTCTCGTCGGTCTGTTAGCCTGTCAGGTCTGCTTACCTACATACCAGATAAGTTCAGGAGAGAAAGCAAGAGAAGGAAAGAAATTAATAAACGCAGCAATGAAGCGAATCAGTTGGAGTGTAAAAGTTGAGGCATTGTTGACTAACACTCACAAAATTTTGTTATTCTAAAAATCGATAGAGGTTTTGTGAAGAAATAATTTTAGTTGGTCAGAAACTAAAATTTAATTTTCATCACAATGGAAAGCGCGGCTTTGAGTGTTTGCGAACATGCTCGACTGTATAGTCTACTGTCACGCGAGGGTTGATGTGCGATTCTGCTTCTAGGTCATTCTTAATTTAAATTCGTGCACAACAAAGCCCAAAACGTAAATCGCCAGATCAAGCTCTGGTCAATGATGACTCCAAGGTACCTGAAAGAGTGTTCCCATGATAAGACTTGACCCTATTCGGTTTCTATATGACACCCGTTTGGTACTTGGACGAGGTAGATGTTACTATCCGAATACAGCAGCTTGCTTTGACCGTGTTATGTCCCTAAGAAACCTGAACAAAATCACGGGATACTTCGAAGCGTAACATCGCAATGACTTTCTCACCGACCGTCATACTTGGTGGCTCTTCGCGTCCATGCTTATATGAAACTCGATGATATCTCGCACTGAAATCTCACATTTTCATCAACAACAGTCATGGTCGGTTGCAATCCGTGTGACTGTAGACGTACAGGTGTTCCCCCTAAGCGACAAGTTGGGAAAGTCAATTAGCGGATTAGAATAATAACGACACTTTTATTGAGGGGTCGGAGGTCACAACTTCGAAAATGCTAACGAATTTTAACGATCTAAATATGTCACTTGTGTTTGTTAATGTATCACTTCCTAACGTAGTACACAAGGTAATTAATGAAAGATCTTTCTAGGTCAACAAGTATATAAAGAAACAACAATAGTAGTTCATATAATTGTGGCTCAAAATAGCTCAATTTTAACGCTGTGTATTTTCGTGTATTCTATGCTCTAAAGACGTTAAGTAATATATGTTGAATTTGGCTCTATAACTGAACTTGTGCCTCTTATATCATTAATTTCTGGTGATCCTCATGTCGGTTTGCATTAGTAGGCTTTTGTTTCTCCAAAACTATATGTCGCTCAATTGTTTTAATCTTGATCTTGTTTCCTTATCAGCAGCTTATGGATCTTTCGTAATTCTTATTTATCCATTCCTCTTAAATTTCAAAATTTCAATGCCGATATTGACTACTGGAACATACCTTTGATTTTATTCATTGGGTACACAGTTGGGAACACTATTAACTTTCTAAACATTTATTGACTCAGTGAATGAAAGTATGCGTTACTTTATCAATCAAGAAATATGTGTCTTAAGGTCTTTTCCAAATTGATCACGGGGACCCAACGCGGACCGGAATGTTACTTTTGTTCGACAAAACATACAATTTCTTTGTTACATTTCACCATTGTTGGCGAATTGTGTCCACAGTGTGAAGCTTTCGACAGCATCGGTAAATTGTGTGAAATTGAGTTATTTTGTTTGAATTTTACAATAGCGTTCTTTAAGAATGAGAACTTGAAGCAAACTGAGTACATCCATGGATTCCCTAGTGGAATATTTTATAAATTGCGTTTCATTCTTTGTAATCAATAGAGGAACAACTAAACGCATTTTGACGAATTAGATTATTCACTTTTTTATTTTGCCACATACTTTTCATTATTTACCTCACTAGTGCAGCTAAATGTTATGCGCGATAGGGTGAATGAACCAGGAAAAGCAAAGGTTATGGTATAGTTTGAAATCGTGATTCACCAGAAAGGTTTTTATTTATTCACGGTCCCCATTCTTGCAGAATTTTCACAGTTTAACCAGGCACTGCCTTATATCCAGCGTACAACTACAAATCAGGTGGGACATTCGAATTACAATTAATTTAAAGATGAATGGTTTCATTTTGACAGATTATTTTTTTTTACAAAATAGAACTTAATTTTTGTTCAATTTTTTTAATTTCGAATCATGGAATCAGTTTATTTTCCGCGCCACTGGCGAGAACGTATTTTTACAGCAAAAGACTAAAAGTCGGATTATGTATTTGGATGACACTTATTTCCATATGTCTGTCTGTCGGTCAGTCGCTAGTCCTTGGCTTGTCTTTAACTTGAAATTACCACTCGGATTTTTCCGAAAATTTCGACAAGGGTACTAGTATGCCAAGGACGAAAAAGGTAAATATATTTAAGTTCTCTATTATATATGTTTGTAGTTAACTCAAGGGTTGTTTCTGAATACCCGCTAGATCGTTGGTAGGTACTTAAGTTCTTTTGGTCTACAAGGTTTGAAAATTCATCATTAAGTTATGATACCCAATGCCTCTGAAATTCATATTCATTTTGGATAGACTGTGATAAACTAAAACTAT